TGGGGCTCTCTAGCCTGGAAAAGTGCAGGCTCAGGCGTGATCTGATGGCCACCTATAAGTTTATCAGGGGTGACCACCAGGATCTGGGGGAGTGTTTGTTCACCAGAGCACCCCAAGGGATGATGAGGTGGAATGGTTATAAACTCCTGCAAGGCCATTTCAGGCTGGACATAAGGAAGACTTTCTTTACTGTCCAAGCCCCCAAGGTCTGAAATAGCCTGCCATTGGAGGTGGTTCAAGCACCTACATTGAACACCTTCAAGAGAAAATTGGGTGCTTATCTTGCTGGGATCCTCTGACCCCAGGTGACTTCCTGCTTCTTGGGTGGGGGGATGGACTCGATGATCTTCCGAGGTCCCTTCCAGCCCTAATGTCTATGACATCTATGAAACCTGGTATACTTTGCCATATAATGTCACAGTGAAATGATTGGAATCTCTCACTTCCAGTGTCATAAAGTCACTTTTATTGATTTCAATCAAAAATAGGCTAAAAAAAGGCAATTTTAGTATGCTTCTCCCTCATGGTTAGGTTGCAGCAGTGGGCTAGTATCCATGCAGCCCATTCTTATGTCATATGATGATCTTTGTTTTTCATTTCCCCAGTTAGATGAGCTGTGAACTGAGACACTGGTTAGAAAAAGGAGAGAGAGCAGGTAATATTTACCTCACTTAGCATCTTTGGCAAACTCATGAAATAACATCTGGCATTTCCTGATTGGAAAGTGGGCTCCTGGATCTTTTGGGACAAGGATGAGAATAATGAAGGGCAAACCTCTTACCTGCCCAAATCCTGCAACATTGGTTCAAATACTATTCATAATTTATGCTGAGGTGCTTCTCACCCACAGAAGATCCTTCTCTATGGAGAGGCATGTAGTAATTGAAACGAGAGACTGGATGTTAAATCTTGGTTTCTGTTTTTGGCTCTGCCACTAATGCATTGCATAGCCTTGGTCAAGAATCAACCATTATGCTGCAATTTAGCAGTTGGTAAAAGCGGGGTAATACTTAATGACATGCCAGTGAGATTCTTAGAAATAAGTGTTTTGGTGTTCTTTGGCAGATAGTGTTATTTGCATAAATGTGATATCTTTTATTAGACCAACTGAATAGTTGGAAAATTGTTCTTTGCAAGCTTTCAGGCACAGGCGCCCTTCCTCAGGCATAGGGAGAGTCTGTTGGTCTTTGTCTTTTTTCTAGGGTCTGAATAGACATCCTTTAACAGAACAGATAATGGAATAAATGCCCGAACTGGTATCCTTTGGCAGAGGCACCAGTGAACATATATAAATGTTGTGACATATAAAAATAATGTATAGAGTATCTCAACCTTTACTCCAAACATGCTTTTCCATTAGGTTTTGAGTTATAATCTATATAATGTTGGTTGTCCTGAGTATGATTTTTTTCCCAGGACAAGAGTACCTTACTGTATTATAGAGAAGACTGCTGATGAGTAACTAATTACTGACATTCTGGAAGAGGATTTTTTGTTTGGTTGCTTCTCTTTGCTTCCAGCTGTTGTTTGGGTTAGTTTATTGCTGAATTCTTTATTAATTAAAAATAAAATATTAATTTGAGCCTATTGTTATTACCTGTGTAACTGTATTTAATGAAACTATTTCATACTTTGTCGCATCTTCCTATACCGAATGAAGTTTTACATAACTGCTGTACAGAGAAACTCGTCTCTTGATTGGAAAATGAAAAAAATATATGAGTGCCCAGACAAAAGATTTGGAGGATAATAACAAGAAAATGCTTGCTTATTTCTGGTAGATCATGCTGAAAAAGAGCCAGTGGAAGATACAGATCCAAGCACTTTTTCCTTAGAAATGGTAAGTGCATTTGAGTGTGGTATAATAATATGCATGTTAATGTTTTGTGTGTAGCTTTTCAGCTAGGTAACACTGACATGGGCTCAAAATCTTTAAATTAGGTACACATGTGATGGTTTTGGTAACCTTTATTGTGGAACCCAATTAAACTTTATCTAGGTGACATCCTTTCTGCTGTCTATAGAAATATGAATGAGTACATTCTATAACATGTTTAGATTAACAGATGTCTGTGGGTGAAATCAACATTTAAATTGTAATCACTTTGGGAACTCTTTCCTATTATGTGCTTATATAGTGCCTGGCATACTTAATTTTGGTTTGGGCTCTCTATGTGCTACTGTGTTCCAAATGTTTATAAAAATAATAATTCAGAAGAACAAGATCTGAACTATGACTCTTCCCTGGTATTGGTATAAGCCACAAGATCATCAAATGGGAAACTTAGATATTGCTTGCATGTTGTCTCAATCTTTCCGTTAAATAGAGTATCTGATGAGGAGATAAGGAGTTACAAAGGCAGAAGACAGAAGTGTCTGCCATGCAAGGTGAACTGAGGGAAGAGAGCAGACAACATTTATTCAGTTTTGCTGACAAGGAGGCAGCCACCCTTCACTTCAGGCTTTTCTTTTTCAACGTGTGTTAAGTTATTCAGACAAACAAGTCTTATGCTGGGACAAGGAGTATATCGGGTAAAAGGAATATTAAAAGTCTTGTAATCTTTAGAGAACTTTTTGAACTTGAGTGTAGTATGTGTATGCTGGGCAACAATAGATAAGAGGCTGATGATAACATTATTGTTATATTAGGCAGCACAGAAGATTTCTGTTTAATGTAGCGATATGGTTGTTTATAAAAGTACCTTATCTTATTTACGAGATATGAGTTTCTTCATGTGGCATATGGATAACAAGTGCATAAGTTATTACTTTCCCTGGGTTTTCTTTCTAATCTGAATGTTGTAGTGGAAGGTCGGCAGAAACTTGAATGGGGATATAAATGTTGATCTTAACCTGTGGCTTTTTGGGAAGGTAGTTTAGTAAGTTAATTCCTGTTCCTGTATTGGGACCCACAGTTACATGGATGGAGGTTCCACACTGGGGTCCATGGCAGCTCTGAGACTATGTGGAATCCCATTGCAGCTATGGGACAACAGAGTTTCATCGTAGTAGACCTTGATTTAGGATTTAGATACTTATGACCATTTTTGTGGCTTATGACTGGTTAAATTAACAAAAATGATCGTACTAAGGAAACTTTCAAGAAAAGTGGAAAGGAGTTACTCTCTTCTTGAGACAAATGTAGGCTACTTTTAAGTACATGTGTATATATGTCTGTGAAAAATGTATGTATTTCCAAATTAGGAGGGCTTTAATTGTGGTAAGTAAGAGTTTCTTTAAAAAAATGAGGAAGGATTCTTATAGTAGACAGCAGACACAGTAATGTCTATTAGAGCACTGTTTCCCAACCAGTGTGCCACATCACAAAAGTGTGCCGTCAGAAATGAACAGATATGCCGTGGAATTTTGTTGTGGCAATGAGCTACAATAGGTATGAGGATGGGGAATGCCTTAACAGGTGTGCCGCAGAAAATTTTTATTAAGGTAAGTGTGCCTTGGGTTGAAAAAGGTTGGGAAACACTCTTAGAGGTCATATTGCAGGAGGCAGGTGGCTACGTATAATAGTAAACTACAGCATAGAAAACTGAATGCATCTTTGTGCTGTAAATCAGCAGACAGGTCCTTAAACTGGCAAACTGTATCTTAGTGTTGCATTGTAATCAGGTTTTAGTTCTGTTTTTTAAGTAAGCACAACTTTGATTGTTTTTTTCAGTGAAACAACATTAATAGAGGGACCAAGTATATCCCTGCTGATACACCTTTAAAGTCAGTGTAATTACTCACGGTGTAGTCTGACAAGACTGAAGTCCAACCCAGGGAAATAGAGGCTAGTGACAGACAATATTAAAGTGTAGAATTTCTTATCTTCCTGTTCTATGCTTAGTCTATTAAACCACACTGCAGAAACTGAAGCAAAGCAACACATCACATAAACATAGGATTGTGAAGCGTCAGCTGCCTGGGCTAGTATCTGTTTGGCTTCTGTCTAATAAATTCATTACTATATTACAGCAAATGAACTAGGAAGATTTAAGAACATACACAGTTAGTGATAAAGTTTCCAGTGTACTTTTCATTCAAGATAGGCATAATGAAAATAACAAATATTTGTCTGCCTTTTTTTGGACAGACAGAAAAGTATCCTGTTCAAGATACTGCACTACCTAAAGGTAAGTACAGCAAACTCTATCTGTTGTTATAAACTTGGTACATCACTGTACTTGCATTTGGTAAAATCCCAGGTGTCTTTTAATGCACTGGAATAATCTTTTTTCTCCTGTACTTTTGTATTAGAACAAATTTATTTTTAAGCCAGTCAGTTATATTCTTTTCCAGTGTTTGCCATCCAAGTTCATCTTTGGTCTAAAAGCTGCTCCTACTATGAATGAAAGATCTTGTTTCTCACTTTAAAGGAAGTTGCAATGGTACAAGCTAAAAGACAAATCTTAGAATCATAGCAAAGTAGGGCTGGAAGAGACCCCAGGAGGTCAGCTAGTCCCACCCCCCTGCTCAAAGCAGGATCACCTCTGTCTATGCCATTTTAGACAGGTGCTTGTCTAACATAGACAAGAAGGGAGAGCCTGGGGAACAGCCATCACATACAGCTGTGAGGGAAACATCAGAAACACCCCTTAACTTGCCACGGTAAAGCAGGGAGGGGAATGAAGGCATGGTTGGTGTTCTGCCACTGCAAGGACCGCATGTTGTAAGGATCCAAATTACGGGGAAATAAAATGTTATTTTATACATGGCTTTGCCCTGGGTTCCCAGTCTGCCTGCAGCTTGTCAGAAATTCACCAGGAATATCCCAGGTGCTGAATTCTGAATTCTTCAATGCATGTCAGGCCCACATGGCTATCCAGGGAAACAAGATATAAGGTAGAAAAGCCAATTATTGTTGGAGATGGATAGTTGAAAACAGTTTGGCAAGCTAACAGTGGCTTGGTTCCAGAAGAGGACTGAGTATTTTTTGGAGACTTCAAGGAGCCAAGAGTATCATGGATTTCCACAGACAAGAATGGAGTAGCGGGCTGTGAATACTTTGGATTTCCAAATAAACTATGTTTAGTGCTGGCAGATTACTCACTTTTTTGGGATTAGTTCTTCTTACAACAATGATACTCAGACCTTGGCTCCTAGCCAGAAGTGGCTTTTCAGTTTACCAGCTGCTGCTCTTTGCAGAAAATGTTATCCAACCAATTTGTTCCTGTATGCACTGATATGCTTTACTGCAGTTGTAAATAAGGCAACTCATGCAGCATAATTGTTTAGAGCAAGTATGTATCTAAGTTTTGTAAACCCTAAGGAGGTTTACCACTCCACTTAAAACATTTTCACCTTGGGGTGTATATGGCATGGTATATAGTATATACTCTGGTTAGTTTAGATTGGCCGTGTGGCTCCAAAGCCAATCAGGTAGTCATTGTCTTAGGTGAGATTACCAAAACTAAAGAAAGCTTAAGCCCCATTTTTCTTACTTTAAAGGCATTATGCCCTTACATCTTCCCCTCAAAAGGAAATTAGATTTCCAAATATATAATTTCAGTGTTGCTTAAAATCCTACGCTACATATTTAAAAAGATTAATTAAAAGGAAAATTGAAAACGTGTAAATTCTAGTACTTTCTGTGAAAAGGAAATTGAATTGGTTTATTTTTCATTTTAGTTTCTATTTCATCCTGATCAGTATAATGATACGGAAGTATGAATATAGCTTAGCATTTCCTGTTTCAGAATAGGAAGTGATGGGAAACACCTCTCTGTGTTAAGTTCTAAAATATCATTTTTTCCCTTAAAGTTGGTTTTCTATATATGCTTTCCATTGCTGTGGGTTTTGAAACTATGACATCAGTCTTAGCTTGTTCCTTAGATATTTTCCTCTGTCTGCTCAAGAACATGAACTGTTATAACTATCAAACACGATTAAAAAAAAATAATACAAAAAACCCCAGCCTTTTAAATATGAATAAAACTGCTAGCTAACTGATAGGTTTACTTTGCAGAGTGTGGGCCTGATATTTTAGTACATAGTAGAATTCTATTTGTCTTTGTTTACATTTTGCCTTTATATAGAATATGGGATCAGTCATCCCCCCTTTAAAAAAACTGACATATCTTAAAGCCTCTAGTGAAGAGTACCTTTTTCTGCAGTACAGAAGGAACATTGTAAAAATATCTGAATGCTGAAGGATTGATTTCTGTCTGTAGTCAAATGATTACCTCAGTCATTAGCAGTTTAAATCTATTTTGTATTTCCGAGTCATCCAAATAACCAGTTATTGTAAGGGATTAAATATGGTTAGATACATATTTGCAGAATTTGGTATTGGGGAATCTTATAGTTTCATAGTTTCATAGTGCTTGGGGTTGGAAGGGACCTAAACAGATCATCAGGTCCAACCCCCTGCCCCGGGCAGGAATGGGTGCTGCAGTCATATTACCCCCAGCCAAATATCTGTCCAGCCTCCTCTTGAAGACCCCCAAGGTAGGAGAGAATACCACCTCACTTGGGAGCCCATTCCAGAGCCTGGCAGCCCTAACTGTAAAGTAATGTCTCCTGATGTCCAGCCTGAACCTTCTCT